CTCTAGTCTGAGATAAGTCTGACCACTCCAGACTAATCACAAGCTCTAGTTAAATGAAAATAGTTTATCACTAACGTAAGCCAGCCTTTCCACTTACACTCAATGTAATATTTTCTGCTATTGTTTTCAGGCAAATTAAGACAAAAAAGTGGTAGAGGCGCACTAAAGGCTATTGTTTGTGGTTCACGTTTGATTAAAAGAACAATAAAAAATTAAGGTAATATGGAGGTGAGAAACGTCAGGAGGAGGATGTTGCTATTTTAATGTTTGTCTCTGGATATGTAAGTTATCTTATCAAGTTTACCTAAAGTAGTGCTTAACTAAACAGAATAAATATGGAACAGTAGATTGAAATGTTGCTGAAGTCGTCTGCTATGTTGGTTGCAGTGGTCAGTGTTTATATTTACAATCTACACAGTTGATTTCTCAATTCAGATAATCTCATAAGTGAATTTTGTTATGAAATAACGCACGAAAATAGTAAAAAAAAAAAAAACTTTCTACAGTCCGCCATTAACCAATCAGAAGAGATGCTATGCATTATGCGGCGGTTCAGTATATACTCAAATATTCTTGCTGATCTAGTATACATCTGGGCATTCTTTAGCATACACGAAATTCTCATATTATACATTTGAAACACACTACATACTCAATTTGACGTCATACTTATGAATGGTAACAGTACGTTAGTTTGTGATTTCAAACACAGCCTTTGGCTCTGGAAAATCACCACCCACCAAGTGACTGGTTATATCACAGAAAGTCCACAAGTTCCAGTTAGAAAAGTACAACCAACTACTATTTCAAAAATGCAAAGCTTTAGTTATTTTATAATGATATTATAAGACCCAACAGATTTGGACATTTTTGTATACTATCACACCTGTCAAGCTTTACCACATCAAATCCAAATGGATTTATGAGGTAGCTTTACTTATTTGTTTTGAACTTAACTCTGTGAGAGCACCAACTCGTTACATACAGCAACAAGTGTAAAAAGAAAACATGCAGACCCATGACATTTTAAATTCCTGTGAACACTTTCACAATCACACAAAGGGCGTTTCCCACACTGGTTCAGAAAATATGCTTCTCTCCAGATTTTGCTTATTTATAGGAAACATACGATTTCAGGTAACAAGTCAGTTCTTGGAGAAAAAAAAGCTAAAAATGGACAAATATGTCAATATTTGAATTAACAATGTGTTGATTTAAATGGACCCACATTTTGAGATTCAGCATAATGTTTATGACAGCAGCAATTCATAATTTTCACAGAGGAAAACACCAACAAACTGAGGATATTGATGAGAGTATGCCGTATTCAGGGTGGAAACTTCTCCTCTAATATTTTGATAGTAATGTGTTGAGTCCAGAAGGTGGCATTGTGTCCACATGTATAAACTATCCACAACCTTTATATTCCAAGAATGTGTAAAATTAATCTGAATGGCACGTGATACACAAATTATAATCCATTCCACACTTATTCAAAATAAAGACGAGGATTAGGATTATGGTGAAGAAGACAATAACTGCCATCCTGCCAATGTCCCCCACTCCGAGGAAGCCTTTGAATTTTTCCTACAATGAAAATGACCTTTATCAGAAGGGACTGGATCAATTGTAATTGGCACATAATCTTATATACGGTATGTGCCATAAAATATGCAGTATATTCAAATATATATTGTATTTTTTAAACTGTAATGTTGCTTTGTACTCTATGTCTCGCTTCCAGCCTTTACACACTTCCACATAAGTGTACAGTTACATTAAGTTGATCAGTTATTTCAAACTTTTCAGACTGTAATTTCTTCACTTAAGTAAGAGGGAATGCTAAGTGTTGTGGCCATTTTTAGGAAATGCTAAAGGAGGCCAGATGTGCTGAAACATACGTGCCATAACTAGACGTATTTCTGTGATTGAAATACATTTAAAAAACTGCAGGCTGCTATAAGTTCTCTTTCTTAATACTAAAACAGACACACTTCACTGAGGTTTCAATTATAGTCAACTAAGAGTATGTTACCACCTGTAACGTACAATTATCCGTGTGAATTTTGTGCTATGAAAAATTAAAACAAATATAATAATTATGTTTGGAAATAAAACATTTACTGTACAAGAGTTGCAGCAGTTCCAATGCTGGATAATTCTGGGTCAGCTTCTTCTACAATTTTAAGTAAGTTACATAAAGAGTCTGTTAAATAAAGTTAAAATCAAATAAAATATACTGTGTTTCATCCATGCATGTGAAAATAAAAGATGCAAGAAATTTAGATCTGCAGACTATTATTCTGAAATCATTATCATTATGAATTATCTCTGAGTGAGTACAGTCTCTCTTTAAAATAGTTTCTCAAGCTCACCTCGGTTGCTTTGTGTCCTGACTGTGGCCGCAAATTTCAAATTTACTTTGAAATGGTTAGAGAAAAATGTATTTTCCAACCTCATTACTACCTGAAAATTAAACAGTTATATCATCAGGAAACTCTAGCAGAAATAATTTTGTAGATTTTACTTCGCTATAGCTTTAAATCATATTCAACATGTTAAACAGTTTCACCAAGTCATAAATATCTTAAGTGGCAGCAGGGAAAGCAGACTTAATAGTTTGATTCATAATTTTCTATATTCCAGTGGTTCCTAACCTACCCTCATCCAGAGTGGAGCAAATATCTGTTGAGGTAGGTCCCACTCCTTTTTTGCATTTGTTCTGGGCCGAATAAGCATGAAGTAAATGGTAAGGGCTTCAGGTTGCTCAGGACGATGTTCTCAAGTTCACAGGTGGCTGTCGCACTTTGCTGCTGCCACCTTTTAAACTGCCTTCCTGAAGGGCCATACTCTGTGTAGCTAATGCTGTAACAATGCAGAACCCCATTTCTGTCAGGCTCTCAGAGGTTAGACTCACAACAAAGACTATTTTTAGAGCAGTAAAATATTTTTATATTCAGTACTGAATTTTTTTTTTTTTTTTTCAAATATCAAAAAACAATTTCCAGAAAGCTTTCAAAAGGTTTCACTTTACCTTCCAAGTGACTTTGATGCTGTGAGAAGTGATGGCCTCCAGCTGCAGATCCAGGAGAGGACCCTCTGGTGCTGAAGGGAAAACAGACTTTAGAGAGCTCTTCATCCAAAATATGAGCTAGAAATCTGCATGAAAAAACCGACCTGCCTCTTTCATTGTGACTGTAAGAACATAACTGGTTTTACTCATGCATGTGCTGTTAGAAGCTAACATGAAAAGTTTGTAGGTCTTGGCCTGATGCAAATCCACCAAAATCACTTGGGTCAGTGCAGGATTTGAGAATGTAGTTCACTACAGTATCCCAGGATGCTGTGCAACAGGAAACAATAGATGTATTTACCTGTATGTAAACATGTACATGTACTACCGAAAGTCCAAACTCTATTCAGATGGTTAGGATTATTGTCATCACCCACGATATATTTTAAATAAATCCTATACAATGTGATGGACCTGCCACCATCAAACACAGAACTCAGTGATGGTCCTTTCTTTAACCTCTCTTGTCTCAGTCTCCAACGGGTTTGGAGGTGCTGAAAAGAAAGAAATGCTGAAGAACAGTGCAATAAAAAAAATATATATATAAAATAAAATTTGTCTGTGCTGTCCCAGTAAGAGACAGACCCTCGGACCCAGCATACACAATGCCTGCCGTAGTACTGAGCGTCATAGTTGCATTGCAAAGTGAAATCTTCTCCCACTGTGGCTATGATCCTTTCTGTAGACACACAAGCTGAAAAGGTTTTGAGAGTCTTGTTGAAGTATAATAAGGAACATCAATATCTTGGTAGGATATATGAAATACAAACTTGATCATTGAATTAAAATGCAAATGATTCTAATGACTGTCTTACCTCCAAGTTTACAATAGAGAAGAATGCAACACAGAGGGAGGTGTCTTCTGCCTAGAAAGATTATGTTACTTTCTCAAAGTCAATCGAAGATTTAGTTCACCTGCTAAACGATACTAAACCAAAACACAGTGTGGTTTTAGATTAGAAATCTTTTCAAATCACATGACGCTATCCTTGAATTTTCTCACGCAAACAGCTTCTGCTGACAAATGTAGAAAAGAGCTGTTTCCTTTTCTTTGGTTTTATTTTGATGATTAGACATAGACAGAATCAAGGTTATCAACACTCTGTCTTCACTCTTGTTGTTTGCACTCAATCCTTGAGGAGACAGGGACAGAAAGGCATTTACAACATTTCAACCATTCAAACTCACCTTCTCAATTGGCAGAGCAACCTCTGCATTTGTTACATTAAAAAATAATCAAGATAATCCAAAAGACACTGAAGCTAACTTTAATGCTAACATTTATTGTCATCATGGGAGCACAAACACAAAATGCTTTTGGATATATAATCTTAATCTTCTTCATCTTATATATTTCAGGACCTAATACTCCTGAAATATATATGATGAAAATAGAAAGTGTGGTTTAGGGTCATTGACTCGGAAATATAAATAAGTCAGTATTTTGATTTCCCCCTTAAAGTCTCATGAATGGTGCTAAAAAGAATAACTGATTTATTAACATGTATAGACCATTACATCTGTTGATGTGATAAAAAAAAAGATTTATATTGAGTTAGAGGTAGTTAGATTTAGTTTTTATCTTGGTGATTCAACGATGACACAAGTGGAGGTGGAGGTGGGATTGATCCTGGTCTTCACCCCTGACCTCTTTTTGCTACATGTTTTGCACCCCCAAAACAGGAACAAGATCAGTGTCCGATTGACACTCATATAATACAAGTTCACATAACAAAAGGAGGTGGTACAGAAAGAGAGAGAAACATTAAATGTTTTTCACCTCACTGAGAGAACTGTAGTACAGCATCTATCAACTAACCATCAAAATGTAATTTATGTGGAATTAAAGTTAAGATTGAGCACAGCACAGTGTGTGTAAGTGTGCATTTAGTATTTTAATAAAAGAAAACACAGAGTCTGTCTAAGATGTTGTTTTATTAAACTTTTAATAGGCAAAATCTTTAAGTATACAATTCAGATGTTACTTTGTCAAAACATGTATAGTATGAATAGACATAGACAGATTTCCCCCACACTGTCCTCCCTCTCTGTCCTATCTTCCTCTACCAGAGTCATCAGGGTGGAATCTTCTCTTGATAATAATAATGTGTGTAAGTCCAGTAGGTGGCATTGTGTCCACAAGTATAACCCATTCACAAGCGTTTTGGAGATGTGAGACCAATTTTGCCATGAAAAACAGACAGGCATACAAATAACAGCAAATGAATTAATCCGCAGGATATTTTTGCATATTCTCAGCCACTTATCTTACTCTCAGTATGACTCACACATGTCTTTCTTCATGCTATCTGAGAATAGTGGGACACTGTGAGCTGCTTTACTGGAGAAATAGGTTATATTTCTGCTCTCTTACTGATTAATAGATAATAGTTCAAAAGGTAAACAGCGTCATCACATGGCGAGCAGAGCAGCAGCACATTCAGCTAGCAGTTCCTTATAGAAATTTGCAGACTCCTTTGTTCTCATAATGCAAACCATCACTCAGGCACTGGGATGCATAAATTCATAAATGTTCTCAGCAGTTGAGGCGTTGAGATGAGTCTCGAGAAGTGTCTTCTTCGGCAGACATCGTCTCCCTGGTTTGAAGAAATGCAAACATTAAAATTATATTTTCAGTCTATAAACGAAGGCCCCTCTCACTGACTCCAGCTGTTTAATAGACGCCCACTTTTAATGTGTAAAATTAATCTGAATAGCAAATGAGTCACAAACTATAATCCATTCCACACTTACAGAAAATAAAGACGAGGACGAGGATTATGATTATGGTGGAGAAGAAAATAACTGCCATCCTGCCAATGTTCTCCACTTCCAGGAAGTCTTTGAATTCTTCCTGAAATGAAAATGAACCTTATCGTGAGGGACTGGGTCAGCTATAATTGGCACATACTTTGAAATATGTGCCATAAATATATTTAAAATTGTAATATATTTTTGTATTCTTTATTTCATACTGCCAGCCTAAAACGACACGCACACTTAAACCACATAAAGTTGAAATCCCCACACTTTTCCATTTCAATGACAAGTTCCTAATTAGGATTCAAAATGTGTCACATAATTGTTTAGACAAAATGCTCCTGAAGAAGGCCAGACATGACAAAACATTGGTTATCAGTCATTTTTAAGAGACTGTGTCAGAGCGATGGACTCATTTTAAAGTCTAATTGCAACAACTCCCTAGATTACTTGTGTACAGAAGCTGAGAACAGCCATGCTTGCAATTATTTTTTAATGTCGTTATCTTGAGATTACAAGTTAATTATTTTGCTATCTCGAGAAAACAAGTTTTGTTATCTTGAGATGACGAGATATTCAACCTGTTATCATAAGAAAACAAAACGGTTGTTTCCTCTTATTACTTATAATGTTTATCAGAGATCAGGAGTTCCATGCCAGCGTACATAGATGGGGGATTATAGATGTAGCAATGCATCAACATAATGGTCAGTGCATGGAGGAATGCAACCTACACGGCAGCTAATTTTCATCCAGGAACCAGAAAAAAAAGTCTCGACTTTGCACGGAGAACGAATAGCCTAAATGAACTCTCAGATGTACATTCAGGTAGCAGCTCTTTTCAGTTCTGTTATGAATCCTCCCTGACTGTCAAAGCAAAGATCTTCAGGGTTGAAAACAAGTATGATCAAATTAATCATTTTCAAGTTCTCCACAACTATCCTGTGACCTCAAGAAAAAATATTTCCGTGATAAAACATCTCGTTCTCTCAAGGAATCAGTCTTCAAGATAACAAAATAAAGAACTTATATTGAGATAATAGCACTAAAATAATTGCAACCAGGGCTGTTTTTCACTTCCGTTTTCATATGTCTTATTAAATGCCCTTTCCTTAAATAAACACAAAAGGTCCTCTTGTGCAGTAATTAGTATAATTATCTGTATTAATTTTGTGCATTTTTTAAAAAACAATATATTATATTTCCTCATAATAGCAATAAGCTGAACCATACCTCAGTCGATGCAGCAAAGTCACCAATGCATGTTTCAGGTGTTGATGTTGTCAGTATTTCTGTAAGGAAATGAAAACCATTACTATCACATATAAATTGACATTTATGCTTAAGATTAAATGCAGTTAACTATTACCAAAAAAGAGCTGCATTAAGGTTCACTGGTAAAAAGAGAGAGAATCATCACTTTTTAACATCATTTTTTAATTTATTCACAGCTCACCCTGCATCCAATCAGTCGTAGGTGTCCAGTCCTCAGTAACAGGCTCTTCCACAGCAGCTGGAATAAACAAAATACTTTAAAGCTGCATAACACAGTTCATAATCACCCTGACTGATGATTTTTTTATGAGCATTACCTTCCTCCATGACCAGGTGTTTATTGACCTTACGGTCATTGAACCACCCTGGGATCTCGACCCTGCAGCCGTACGCACCAGCATCGGCCCACTGAGCGTTCATGATGGTCAGGGACACATCTCCGTCTGTCACCCTGCCCAGCAGCTGGTACCTGGGGGACTGCCTGAATTGTACAGCCCCACCTTCAGAGGAGAGGACGGTGTTGGAGCATTTGGAGCTGGGCAACTTCCCTCGTCCCCAGCAGAAACTCAGGACGCCATAAGCTTGGGAGTCATAGCTACAGGGCAAAGTCACATTGTGCCCTAAAAGGCCAATGACTTGACTGAAGGTAGAAGACACTGTGGAAGACATTACTGACTTTGATCAAACTGGATGATACAGATAGCAATTACAATTCTGAAATGTGAAGCCCACAAATGTACCCATCCTCCTGCACACACATCACCACTTTTACACCCACAGGCACTACAAATACAAGAAAACAAAAAAGCACAGAATATTGACTTACCTTGGGTCAGGATTGAGAGGAAAAAATAACAAAGACCACGCATGAGTGTAGGCTACTGTATAACACTGTCCTGAAGTGAGGATAAGATGAATTTATCCCCCCACACACACTCCGACACTGCAACTAGGCACCGAAGGTTTAACTTCCCTTTTTGAAAATCAGGAAGGAAATCAATACTAGTCATGTCTACATTTGGACTTATTCCATTATCTTATTATACAAAATTAGCTCACTGGTTTGGTTTATAAACTACATCTGAGTTCATCACTGTCCAATAAACATCTGCTGTCACCTGTAGCAAGATGACTAAATATGTGGGGACATTTAAAAGTGACCACAAAAATATGATACACACTTAAATAGGAAACATCATGGCTGAGTAAGTGTCATGCTGTTCTCAAAAAGCAGACTTTCTGTTTATAGCTTAGGAGGTCTAATAAAATGAGCTAAATCAACTATCACTCTGGGCTTTTGAATTCTTTTGAAATACTCACAGGGCACAGACATTTTTGGCTCGAAGTCCCCAGTTTTCCACAGAAATCATTAAGTTTCATCTTATCTTGAGCAGTGACAGTACTGGAGTAACAGTAATGGTATTGGAATTGTACTGAAGTTTGTTGTAAATTGGCTGTGATTAGTTGTGTTGTAATATCTCTTTGCTGTCCCTGGAGGACCTGAAGACTCTTCGGCCTGCCTCTTAGATGATTTTCATTCAAAGTTTCGGTTAAGATTGATTATGATTACAGTTTTATCAACAACTGGCTGGTTTTCCGTCTAGTTTCCATCACAAAATGACTTAACATCACAGCTGACTTCCAACCACATGCTCCACTCTCCAGATTTTCCTTTTTGTTTGAAATAACTGTTTCTACCCATTTGCTATCCTTTACGAGTGAAAACAAAACCATTTACCAAATCCTATTAGGTTTAAGAGACTCCTCAAAGTGACCAATAAACTTGAAATTATCCGTTTTATTAGTTTAGACCCTTATGATACTGATTTTTGCTTTGTTATTTCTTAGAATGAAGCTCTTTACTAGTCAGTTTTCTTTATAATGGAACAATTTGATTTAACAGTTTGTGGACTGGTACAACTTCTTCCTCAGCTGCCCTGCAAGTTTTTCATTTCTGTCTTATTCACAAACCCAGAGTGTGAAAGAAGCTCACTGTCCCTGTAGCTGTATTTATTTCTATCATTTGTTTATTTAGTAACTCTGAATTAGTTGGCACTGCTTAGGTTTTGAATGTAAAGTAAGGTCAAATTCACCATTGAGGCTTCCAGTCAGTGTCTGTGGGCGCCTGTGTGTATATGTGTGTATGTTGAAAGGTCATTGTTATATGACCATTATGGGAAAGAAGAGTCTCTGTGTGTATATGAGGACAGCAGCATAAGAAAAATATTTTGTCTTTGCCAGCCTTTATCTTCCCTCTGTTCACCTCTCACAATCCCGCCTCTACCTCTACTTGTCAACACTGTCAGCCACCATTGAGCTGCTATAGTGCTCCATAGATCACTGTCCTCTCACAGTGATGTCCTGCGTCATCTCTGTGTGGCTCCGTTCTAAGATTGTCTCTAACAACAAACATAATGAAAGTGAAACTTTTCAATAGACATGAATGTGGAGAGAGAATATTACGTATAAATCTTGTTTGTTTTTAGGGGTTTCTTTGTTAACTTGTTTTAAAATAGCTGATATGTTAGATAGCAGTTTGAAACAACTTATTACATCAAGTTTCTCTCTATGTTTTTTTAAATATCATGAACATTAATGCCAATGTGCCTGCTCTACAGTGGGGACAGTAAGACCACTGCTCCCTCCATAAAACCTCTAGCTAGGAGACTTGTTTACTTTGATTTCCTGTTTGGGTTCAAACTGGAGCCATTGTGAATCTACTGAAGAGATAAAGGTTTAAAAATGGCATTTAGAGCAGAAAAACTGGTCTGGCCCAAAGCCAGCACTGACAAATCAGCGACTGGGTGACTTTTGCTGATGTTTGATAAAACCAGGAGCAAACAGTAAAGGAGAAGTGAAACGACTGAGGTCAGAGTCTGTTTCATTTTTAGATGTTGTTAAAGGAGGTGGGTCGTTGCTGCCTGTTCAGCTCTGTTTCTGGAGGGTGAGCGGGGGGGCTGAAGCAGAGAGTGACTTCTCCATGAAATGTAGAATAAGTAAAGAATGATGGGAACGCTAATACAATATACATCACAGGTTTATTCTTTGTCACTTTGAGGTTCCCTAAGGTGATCCATCACTGCAGGTGGACGACAGAAAGCATTGATTTGCAATATTGCTGACGCAACAGGATCCATAGTTACCTTTGGAGCAAACATGCTGAGCTGTCAAACAGCTCTTGGTCCATCAGATGACCTCTACTCCCTAAATGTGTTTGCCTGATAAGACACAAACCATCTGCTGGAGGGGATATGGGACAACAGCATTCATGGGGAGTCAATACTCCCCTTCATTATGCCATTTCTCCCCCTAAAGCGTGTTTAAAAACGTGTTTGTTTACTGCTCCGAATATCAAGGTGACTTCAACTTTAAAGGGGTAGAAGTGGTCTAATGTGTTCTTTAGTCAGTACCATTTACATGTATGCCGTTAGATCATTGTTACATGAACATTACTAATGGAAAAGAACAGACTGTAAATGAGAAGTTAAATATTTTGACAAGTTGCACTGCAAAGTCATTGTGCACTGCAAAAACAGCCCTTCTACAAACAAGCCAAATATTCATAAATATAATCAAATTTTCTTGTACTGAGCAAAAAAAAAAAAGCTTGGCTAGAATTCATAAAGCTAGCATAACAATCTATCCACTGTAAGACTGTAATTGGCCTTAAAACTGGAGGAAATGCCAAACATGTTTCCTTTTTACAAGCAATTAAAACTCAGTTATTTAAAATAGACTTTCTTAAAATAAGTATTTTGGTCACTTTATTAAGTTGAATTCAAGAATTTGTACATTCATCTGAAAAGACAGAATTTCTTCAAACAGCATTATGAAAATAAGTCCTTAGCATTTTTTTTTATTAAAACAATGAAAGGTTGCTTCACAAGACTGCTTTCTCTTAAATTGAGCAGTTGAGAAGGGGTCTTACTCTTAAAATAGGGAAAATTATCTTCCTCTGCTGGGACATTATACAAACCATTGTAACTTTTGACTGGATAAATGTAGCTCAGTATTAGCTGTAATGTCTTATTAAGACAGTTAAATATATTTTGTTAAAACAAGATTACTTTTCTAATGCTAAACATGCTTGACAAGATTATTTTTCTTTTTAGACAAAACTAAGCTTTTTTACTTTTTCAAGATTTCTTTTTTGCAGTGTGACGTGCAAATCCCAGTGTGAGATTTATTTATTCATTTATTCAACATGATGAAGACCTTTCGGTCGCAATGTTGAGCAAATGTTATGGTTTGACAGGTTTCATCTGCCCTCTGCTCACCTCCAATGACAGCTTGTTTTTGCCTCCACTTGTCAACGCTATCAGTGAGATAAGATTTTCAAAAAGGAGTTCAAAGACCACCACTGAGCTCCTAGAGTAAATATTACCATACTAAATATTGCAGTCTTTGTGATATTGAGTCTCAGCCATCTTGGTGGTGCATTTATAGTTATACATTAAGGGATTACTGCGTAGCTTTACACAAAGCCCTCTATTGGCCATTTAGTCATTATGACGGTAACAAAGGAAGAAGTGAGATGACGTTGTTGTAGAGCTCAAAAAAGCTAACCTATCTAAGGTGGCATGTTTACCTGTTATGTGAATGAAGTAATTCAGATTGAAACTCCACAAAATCTCTCTATAAATCTATTAAATCACCAGAAGATAATGGGTTTTATATGGATTCAGTCTGTCTGTGAATATTATATAAACATGTCACTTTTCATAACCATGAATGAGACTCAGTCCGGATAGTATCTGCATTAACAAGAGATGATTGCAGAATTATTAGGGACTTTCTGTGGGAGAATCAAGTGAGCATAAAACGTGTTTAGATGGACTATAGAACAGGTTTCTTCTATTCTCAACCAATCTCTTTCCATTTGTTATTTTAGTTTGTATTTCCTCCACAAGAACATACTCTAAACTGTGTGCGTATATCTGTGTGTGCAGTTCATGCATGATGGATTTATTGCTGCCTCTCCCGGCAACTGTGGAGCCCCGGCCCTTTCCCCACTTCTTACTTCCCACCCTCAACTCTCCTGGGAGTGTGCCTCAATGTTCCCCCTCCTCTCTCCTATTAATATCCCACTAGGGAGACAAGCTCATGGGGAGTTTGGGAGCGGAAACGCCTCCAAGCACTCCTGGAAGACACAGAGCTGGACGAGGGCGAGGAGAAGAAAGAGGGACAGAGATTAAGGCGAGTGAGGAGAGATTTTCAGTCTGAATGTGTGAAAGAGGATTAGAAAGCATTAGTAAGGAGAGGAAATGGGGTGGAAGTGAAAGAAAGAGGAGATGAAGTGAGAATGAGAAGGAGAAGTTGGAGAAGTTGGCACCGTACAGGATATGGGGATCTGTCCCAGACAGAAATACACCTTACACTCACCAGTAGAGCTTCTTGTAGGATTTTTAAGGAAAGACATATTCACATTGTGTTCTTTTTAAGGAAGTAGAGTTCATAATTGTAATATTACTCAGAACATTCCCAGTGTTCTGTTCTTTTTCCTCCCACCCCCAGTGTGTTGGGAAGCTGCCATGAATCCCGTCATGGTTACTCAATGCAGCATCGGTCTGGGAGATACAGTTGCAAACAGTGTTTTCCCACAAACAATCTTCTCTGGATCAATGATTTACCACTTAACGATGTCTGTAGTCATCTGTGTGCTACCAGATTATGGCCTAAAAATGGGCACGAGAAAGGTGGGATGCTGAGACTGTGCCTCCATGCCCACACAGCATTCGGAAGACTGCAGGATATAAAGATACTTAACCAACAGCATTCTCATGAGTTCAGTCTCCTTCAGCACAATCGAAGGGGAAAAATGTGCAAACATAAACATGCCCTTAAAGGAAAGATGATTAGGGGTGTACAGAAGAGAAGAAGTTCTCCTGACCCAAGGCTGATCCAGATCCAACTCTTTCTCTCCGCTGGGAAAAAAAGTCCTCATTTCATTTCTCACATGGCC